TTCGAATGGAGTTGGATCATACGAGAAGAGAGGGTCGAGGGGCACTTTTTTTGCGCTTTGAACTGTCTCCAAACTCAAGCACGTTATCCTGTTACCTTTTTCACTTTTGAGAATTCTCAAAAGTGATTTCCTTACGAGAAGAGAGGGTCGAGGGGCACTTTTTTTTGCGCTTTGAAGTGTCTCCAAACTCAAGCACGTTATCGTGTTACCTTTTTCACCTGACCGTCGGGACGTCTCAAAAATCTCTCAAGGATTTATATGCAGCTGTGCTGTCCAGCCTCCACCCCTTCACCTTTTGAGTCGACTCAAAAGTCACCTGTGCTGTCCAGCCTCCACCCCTTCACCCCTCCCTCTCTTTTCGTTTCTCTCCCCCTGCCCCGTCTTCTCTTCTCCTTCAACTCCCCCTGCTCATCTTGTCCTCCTCTGTTCATTTTCCTCCTCATATCGAACGTGCAGAACTCCATGATCCGCCTGCTGCCCTCGCGCTCAACCTCTCCTGGATATGTCTGGAAGGTGGGTAATCGTATCAAGTCGTATCGTATCGAATCGAATCATGCCATTTTGTACTTGCTTCATGCATGTGAAATCTGAAGACATGTCTTCTGCATGAGCTCATGTGAACTCCTTCTCTCTCTTTTTATTTAAAGTGGATTCCTTCCGGAGGGGAAGCTTTGGGTGAGTTCCTTCTGAGGCTCTCCCAACTTCTGAGGCGCCTCAAAAGTTCCTTCTGAGGCTCTCCCAACTTCTGAGGCGCCTCAAAAGTTCCTTCTGAGGCTCTCCCAACTTCTGAGGCGCCTCAAAAGTTCCTTCTGAGGCTCTCCCAACTTCTGAGGCGCCTCAAAAGTTCCTTCTGAGGCTCTCCCAACTTCTGAGGCGCCTCAAAAGTTCCTTCTGAGGCTCTCCCAACTTCTGAGGCGCCTCAAAAGTTCCTTCTGAGGCTCTCCCAACTTCTGAGGCGCCTCAAAAGTTCCTTCTGAGGCTCTCCCAACTTCTGAGGCGCCTCAAAAGTTCCTTCTGAGGCTCTCCCAACTTCTGAGGCGCCTCAAAAGTTCCTTCTGAGGCTCTCCCAACTTCTGAGGCGCCTCAAAAGTTCCTTCTGAGGCTCTCCCAACTTCTGAGGCGCCTCAAAAGTTCCTTCTGAGGCTCTCCCAACTTCTGAGGCGCCTCAAAAGTTCCTTCTGAGGCTCTCCCAACTTCTGAGGCGCCTCAAAAGTTCCTTCTGAGGCTCTCCCAACTTCTGAGGCGCCTCAAAAGTTCCTTCTGAGGCTCTCCCAACTTCTGAGGCGCCTCAAAAGTTCCTTCTGAGGCTCTCCCAACTTCTGAGGCGCCTCAAAAGTTCCTTCTGAGGCTCTCCCAACTTCTTAAGTATTTAAGGAAATCACTTTTGAGAATTCTCAAAAGTGATTTCCATTTCTTTTTTCCCTTGAGGAGTCCCAACTCCTCAAGGGGACTCCCAAGGGGCTCACTCAAGGGGACTCCCAACTCCTTGAGACTCACTCAGTCAAGGGGAAACTTCGGGTGAGTGAACTTTTGAGACTCTGCCCCATCAGTCCGTGTTGGAGCTGTGGGAACTGCTGGCGCTCAACACTGTTGACCACGGAAGATGGAGACAAGGCGTGCCCTCTTGCACTTCTCTCCTGTCCCAACTGCTCCTTCGTTATCCCTTCCTTCAACTCCCACTCACACCCATTGGTCCCTGTGGGAGCTGCTCGCGCCCAACGTCGTTCACCACGAGGTGGAGACAAGGCACCTTTCCTTTCTTCCTCTCTCCTCTCACAACTGCATCTTCTCTCTCCCCCTCCCTCTCATCCACCCCATCAGTCCGTGTGGGAGATGCTTGCTCTCAACATCGTTCATCACGAGGTGGAAGCAAGGCTAGAATCTCAATTTGCTACCCCTCCATCTTTCCTCTCCCAACTGCTGCTCATACCCCCTTCGTCATCCCCATCAGTCCGTGTGGGAGATGCTTGCTCTCAACATCGTTCATCACGAGGTGGAGACGAGGCACGCCGCCCTGCAGGCAATGGCCACTGCTACAGCCGCTACAGACACCGCAGCGCCAGGAACGGCAGCAGCAGCAGCAGAAGCAGAAGCAGCAGAAGTAGCAGCTGTGGCGCGTGCATGTGTGGGAGAGGGGTCGGACAAGGGCCATGAGATGGCTTTAGATGGACTGGCGCACCTGGCTCTGCTCACCAACACCATCATGGCTGCTGGTGGGTGTGTCTCTGTCTGTGGATAGTGTGTGTCTGTGTGTGGATAGAGTATGACAAGAGCCATGTAAGGCCTCTGTAACGATCTGACGACAAGAGCCATGAGATGGCCTTGGATGGGCTGGCGCACGTGGCTCTGCTCACCAACACCATCATGGCTACAGGTGAGTGGCAGGGGTGGATTGCTGGTTTGCAGCTGAGGGTTGGATCAGTGAGGGGCCTTCACAAAGACTCTGTTCGGGGTGAGGGGTCGGACAGCAAGGGCCATGAGATGGCCTTGGATGGGCTGGCGCACGTGGCTCTGCTCACCAACACGATCATGGCTGCAGGTGAGTGTGTTTCTATGCGTGGACAGGGTGTGCAGCTGAGCTGAGGGTTGGTGAGGCGTCTACACAATGGGTCTGTACGGGGCGAGGGGTCGGACAAGGGCCATGAGATGGCTCTGGATGGGCTGGCGCACGTGGCTCTGCTCACCAACACCATCATGGCTGCAGGTGGGTGTTTGTTTGTGGATAGGGTGTGCTTGCTGGTCTGCAGGTAAGGGCTGGATGGGAGACGCGCCTCTGCAGTGGCTCTAGAGGGGTCAGACAACAAGGGCCACGAGATGGCTTTGGATGGGCTGGCGCACGTGGCTCTGCTCACCAGCACCATCATGGCTGCAGGTGGGTGTTTGTTTGTGGATAGGGTGTGCTTGCTGGTCTGCAGGTAAGGGCTGGATGGGAGACGCGCCTCTGCAGTGGCTCTAGAGGGGTCGGACAACAAGGGCCTTGAGATGGCTTTGGATGGGCTGGCGCACCTGGCGCTACTCACCAGCACCATCATGGCTGCAGGTGGGCGCCTCTGCCTGTCTGTGTGTGAATAGGCTTTGACAAGTACCATGCAGGGCTGTGTAGGGGTCAGTCAGACAAGGGAGGTTGTGATGGGCTGGCTGGCAGGCGCACGTGGCTCTGCTCGCCAGCACCATCATGGCTGCAGGTGGGTGTTTGTCTGTGGATAGGTTGTGTGTGCTTGCTGGTCTGCAGGTAAGGGAGGTTGTGATGGGCTGGCGGGCTGGCGCACGTGGCTCTGCTCACCAGCACCATCATGGCTGCAGGTGGGCGCCTCTGTCTGTCTGTAAGCAGGAGCCTGTTCAACTGGTTGCATCTTGAATTGACTCAAAAACACTTCACCTTTTCCTTCCCACGCCTCTCCTCTCGTCAGCCCCGGTGGTGGATCACCAGTGCATGAGTCTGTTCAAGTGGTTGCATCTTGAACCAGAGGAAGACGACGAGAAGGACAGGGCAGGGAGCAGCAGGAGAGCGGGGAGAGGAGGACGTGGGGCGGGCAGCGGGAGCAAGGGACAATCTAGCAAGGGGCAGGAGGGGAATGAGGCGATAGCAGGGAAAGTAGGGAAAGAAGGGAAAGAAGGGAAAGAAGGGAAAGAAGGGAGAGTAGGGAAAGAAGGGAAAGTTGGGAAAGAGGGACAAGAAGCTGGGAAGCCTGTGGCAAAAGAGGTTGGGATGAAGAAAGACGAGGACGAGGACATGAGGGTTGAAGAGGCGGAGTGGGAGGGAGAGAAGGCGGGGTGTGAAGAAGGGGAGGAGGGAAGTGATGGGTTTGACTGGGAGGGGGTGCAAGAGGGAACGGGGGGGACTGCAGGTGGAGAGCCAAGATCGGCAGAGGCATCTACTCCGCTGGCCGTGCCTGCGAGCGTTCGAGAGGCTATGGTTCGATTCGGTGGGATGGAGGGGACGGAGGGTGGAGGGCGAGGAGGCAAGAGAGGAGGAAGAGGAGGAGGAGGAGGAAGTGGAGGGGAGAGGAGAGGAGGACGGATGTCATTTCCTATGCGTGGTCTCGGGGGAATTAGTGGGGAGGATGAGAGTGAGGAGGAGGACGATGATGAAGAGGATGAATGGGAAGAAGTGGAGGGGAGTGAGGAGGGAGGGGATGAAGGTGAGGAGGAGGACGACGAGGAGGAGAGCGAGGAGGAGTGGGAAGAGGCAGAAGAAGAAGGGGGAGAGGCAGAGAATGAGGAGGGTGGGGCTGCTACTGCTGCTGCTTCTGGTGCTGGTACTGGTGCTGCAACAGAGGGGTTTCTGCTGGTTGATGCCTCTGTTGCAGCGCCCACACCACCAGCACCAGCCGCTCCGGCTGCTACTGCAGCTGCTACTGCTGCTGCTGCTGCTGCTCCTCCTGCTGCTACTGCTGATGCTGCTAGTCCTGTGGCTACTGCAGCTGCGACTGCTGCACCTGCTGCTCCTGCTGCCCCTGCTTCTGCTGCCACTGCTGTAGGTGCTGCTACTGCTGCAGAGGCACAGGTGCAGGAAGGAAGGGCAGGGCAAGCAGCAACCACCACTGCATCACCAGCACCAGCACCAGCACCAGCACCAGCACCAGCACCAGCACCAGCACCAGCACCAGCACCAGCACCAGCAGAAGCAGCAGCAGCAGCAGCAGCAGCAGCAGCAGCAGCAGCAGCAGCAGCAGCAGCAGCAGCACCAGCAGCAACAGCGGGTGGTTTTACAGTAGGATTTGCAGCCGCAGCGGCAGCAGCGGCAGCAAGAGCAGCAGCAAGAGCAGCAATGCAGAGCAGGGGCAGCAGGCAGAGGAGGAGCAAGGGGAGGAGGAGCAAGGGGAGGAGGAGTAGCGCTGACAAGACGAGGAGGAGCAAGGAGAGGCGGCAGGGCGGCAAGGGGAGGACGGGGGGCAAGAGGGGCAAGAGGGGCAAGAGGACCAGTAGGTCTGGGTGGGCTAGAGATCCCTCCAGAGCTGCTGCAAGAGTTGATGGCAGAGGGAATCACACCAGCTGAGATGATGGCTGATTCACGAGAGCTAGAGGAAGAGTTTGGTGCAGAGGATGAGGAGGAAGAGGAGGAGGAGGAGGAGGATCGGGTGGACATGGGCGTGGATCCTAGCTGGAGTGTGCTGCTGGGGTTGCTGTCTCGGCCGGTTGTTGCCGCTGATCCTTTCGCTGTTCTGCTCTCGCTCATTCAGGTAAGGGGATCGCCTGTTGTTAACATGTGGTGTGGTGCGGCTTCCCCTGTGTACGTCTGCTCTTGCACTCATTCTCTAATGCCAATCGCTACTGCTTATTCCTCGATAAGCAATAATTTCTCCTCGTCTCTTGTCCTTCCACTTCCTCCTCGTCCCACCACTCTATTGACCCAACCATCCCACCACAGTCCAAGCAACCCCGCCCCTCGGCTGCCACGACACAAGCCATCCTCCTTGTCTCTTTCTGTGTGGCCGTCACACAATCCCTCGCCGCCCTCCAGCCCTCCTCCCGCCTCCGCCCCTCCTCCCTCTCCTCCTCCTCCACTCCCTCCTCCCGTGCCTCCTCCTCCCGAGCCTCGGCCTCCTCCTCCCGTACCTCTGTTCCTTTCCTGGGGATGTTTCCCCGACCCACCCCTATTTCTGCCGCCGATGCCGCCGCCGCAGCTGCTGCCGCTGCTGCTTCCGAACCTGCGGGCGAGGAGCGGGCCGAGTGGGGTGTCCTGGCCTGCTGCTTGCCGTACCTCCGCCGAGCCTATATCCTGGTGCGTTGTCATTTTTACCGGTACAGAGAATACGGTACCCCCCGTGTGCCTTCTGCATGTTCGTTTGAAATCATGGACTCTTCCCTTCCCCTCCCACGTGCTCAAAACAGTCACCTTCAACCATGATTCGTTGATTTGAGGCATCTCAGAATCCAGTTTACATGTTTAAAGACATGCTCTCTAGTTCCACTGATGCATTGACGCATTTATTGACACTCTTTTTCCTATTGTCTCCTCTCCACTTCACTCCCTCATTCCCCTCTGCTCCATTTTCTGTCTTTCTCCCTCCGTTGAAACCCTGTACTCTTTATAACCAGATTCACTACCTTGGCATAATGCCGCTCAGAGAGCCCCCGCTTGTGGATCACTGCGTAAAAGCAATTAAGAATCTGAGTAAGGGCTGCCATGTGTGGAATGCTTAGAGACGTCTCAACCCCCATATTGCCCAGTGCTTTGCTCTGCTCGCCCTCAAAGTTCAAACCTTTACTTTTTTATTCTGCCTGAAAGCCTACAAGTCTTCTCGCCTCACTTCGCCTCTGCCTGTCTTGCTTGCCTCTCCCACCGTTTACTTAGTTGCCTTTTGTGAATTCTCGAAGCCCAACAAGTTCCGCTCGCCTCACGCGTGTGATAAGTCGATTTTTGAGTCGACTCAAAAATCGACTGCTTCCTTGCCTCTCCCACCGTTTACCTAGTTGACTTTTGTGAGTTCTCGAAATTCAACAACAACTTCTTGCCTCACTTCCCCGCTGCCTTCTTCCTTGCTTTGCTCTGCCCAGGCCCACAAGTGCTGCTCGCTGATTGGCTGCGCCGTTCACTTGCCCTTCCCTCCGTGACCTCTGTGCTTCGCCTCATGGCCTCTGCCAACACGGAAAGTGAGACCACTTTCACCTTTTACTCTTCACCCTTCAACTCTTCAAGCTTCACACATCACGCATCACCCATCACCCTGTACCCTCTTCCCTCCGTGACCTCTGTGCTTCGCCTCATGGCCTCCGCTAACACTGAAAGTGAGTCCATTTGAGACGTCTCAAAACGGCCTCCGCCAACACTGAAAGTGAGTCCACGTTCACCTTTTACTCTTCACCCTTCAACCTTCACCCTTCAACCTTCACCCTTCAACCTTCACCCTTCAACCTTCACCATACCCTCACACTTCGTCAACTCCCCGTTGCGCCACAGCGGCATGTTTGAGCATCATGGAGCCTCCCTTCGCTGTTCTAACCTTCCCTTTCTCCCTCCACCACTCGCCAGGGCCTCATCTCCTCGCGTCTCCTCGCGTCTCCTCGCGTCTCCTCGCGTCTCCTCGCGTCTCCTCGCGTCTCCTCGCGTCTCCTCGCGTCTCCTCGCGTCTCCTCGCGTCTCCTCGCGTCTCCTCGCGTCTCCTCGCGTCTCCTCGCGTCTCCTCGCGTCTCCTCACGTCTCCTCGCGTCTCCTCGCGTCTCCTCGCGTCTCCTCGTGTCTCCTCGCGTCTCCTCGTGTCTCCTCGTGGACTTTCTCCTCGCGTCTCTGCAGCATCATCCGGCCAGCCGTGGCCCCTCAGCCACATGTCTGCATTGCATTATCATGGGATCTACCGTCGCCCATCCTAATCTTCCCTTGCTCCCTCCGCCCCTCCCACGGGGTCCATCCCCCTTTCTCCTCGTGTCTCTGCAGCATCATCCGGCCAGCCGTGGCCCCTCAGCCACATGTCTGCATTGCATTATCATGGGATCTACCGTCGCCCATCCTAATCTTCCCTTTCTCCCTCCGCCCCTCCCACGGGGTCCATCCCCCTTTCTCCTCGTGTCTCTGCAGCATCATCCGGCCAGCCGTGGCCCCTCAGCCACATGTCTGCATTGCATTATCATGGGATCTACCGTCGCCCATCCTAATCTTCCCTTTCTCCCTCCGCCCCTCCCACGGGGTCCATCCCCCTTTCTCCTCGTGTCTCTGCAGCATCATCCACCTCCCCATGGCACCTCAGCCGCATGTTTGCATCATGGAACTTACCATCAGTGAGTGCCTACATAATACGGCTTTTGAGACGTCTCAAAAGTTCCATGTTTGCATCATGGAACTTACCATCAGTGAGTGCCTACATATTACGGCGCAAACACATCATGATGAATGTTCATACGCATGCATGTCTCTACAGACGCATGCATCATGCATGTCTCTACACTCACATGCATCATGCATGTCTCTACACTCACATGCATCATGCATGTCTCTACACTCACATGCATCATGCATGTCTCTACACACGCATGCATGTCACTATGCGTGCATGTCTGTGTAACCGCTGTGCATGTCTCCATGCACATCCTCACACATGCAAGAACCACCCCGGCTGGTCAGCCGGGGTGTGCGCATGTGTTCATACATGCTTGTTACAGTGTGCGCATGTGTTCATACATGCTTGTTACAGTGTGCGCATGTGTTCATACATGCTTGTTACAGTGTGCGCATGTGTTCATACATGCTTGTTACAGTGTGCGCATGTGTTCATACATGCTTGTTACAGTGTGTGCATGTGTTCATACATGCTTGTTACAGTGTGTGCATGTGTTCATACATGCTTGTTACAGTGTGTGCATGTGTTCATACATGCTTGTTACAGTGTGCGCATGTGTTCATACATGCTTGTTACAGTGTGCGCATGTGTTCATACATGCTTGTTACAGTGTGCGCATGTGTTCATACATGCTTGTTACAGTGTGTGCATGTGTTCATACATGCTTGTTACAGTGTGTGCATGTGTTCATACATGCTTGTTACAGTGTGCGCATGTGTTCATACATGCTTGTTACAGTGTGCGCATGTGTTCATACATGCTTGTTACAGTGTGCGCATGTATTCATACATGCTTGTTACAGTGTGCGCATGTATTCATACATGCTTGTTACGGTGTGTGCATGTGTTCATACATGCTTGTTACAGTGTGTGCATGTGTTCATACATGCTTGTTACAATGTGCGCATGTATTCATACATGCTTGTTACAGTGTGTGCATGTGTTCATACATGCTTGTTACAGTGTGTGCATGTGTTCATACATGCTTGTTACAGTGTGCGCATGTGTTCATACATGCTTGTTACAGCATGCGCATGTTTCTTCCATGAGTTTTGAGGCGCCTCAAAAGTTTTGAGGCGCCTCAAAATGTATTCATACATGCTTGTTACAGGGTGCGCATGTTTCTTCCATGAGTTTTGAGGCGCCTCAAAAGTTTTGAGGCGCCTCAAAATGTATTCATACATGCTTGTTACAGTGTGCGCATGTTTCTTCCATGAGTGCGTGTCTCCATGCATTCTTACACCCGTCTCATTCACACATCCCTCACATCCTTCACATTCTCACACGTGCAGGAACCACCCCGGCTGGTCAAAGCACCCACCCAGCCATCATTTCACCCGTTGCCGGAGATTTACCAGGTAACGTCCAATTGCTGAAAAGATTTAAAAGGTACTATGCAAATGCTGAAAATATTTACCTGGTACCATGCAAATGCTGAAATCTTATCAAGTACTTCTTCATTCAATGTCTTGTTGGACACGTTGGAACGATTACTTTGTGTATGTCGGATTCAAAGCCTGAATATTTTTTGTTTATTCTCAGCTTCTTGGTCTCAGAAGCTGAAGTTATCCTAATTGACTCAGAAGCTGGTTCTCTTGGTTCTGGTCCGCACTCTCTTGTTATGTCTTCTCGTGTTCTTTTGTTCTCTTGTTTTCTCCACGATGAACAAGACGAGACATGCAGGAGCTGTGGTTTGGAGCCCCATAACCCCGCTGTCTGCCTGTGCTTCTGCTGCTGCTGCTGCTGCTGCTGCTGCTCAGTCCTGCTTTGTGCGTGTACCTTCCCTCCCTCCCAGGACCTGCTGTTATCCACGATGAACAAGACCTGCAGGAGCTGCGGCTTGGAGCCCCACAACCCCGCTGTCTGCCTGTGCTGTGGCGAGCTGCTCTGCTACAACTCCCCCTGCTGCCGGCCGGACGGCCGCGGGGAGTGCTACAGACACGCACTGAGAGGTGGGTACTCTGTTTTGCCACAAATTTTATTATCATATATGCGGGCTGCAGCCATCCTCTTCCTTTGAGCCGGTTAATCATCCTTGTGGATCTACCCCCTTTTTTCTTTTTTGATTTAAACATTCTTTTCCTTCATGGTTGCCAAAGACTCTGGATGCGAATCTGGTTTTGGGAGTCAGGGTGTGGAAAGTCAGTGGGTCTCTATCCTAAACACTTTACATGTTAACCATCCACCACCCCTACATACAGAGAACGGGGGCGCGGGTCTGTTCCTGGTGATGCGGTCAACACAGCTGGTGCTGATACACGGTGTGCACATAGGTAAATATGTCTCTGTTAACCATCCACCACCCCTACATACAGAGAACGGGGGCGCGGGTCTGTTCCTGGTGATGCGGTCAACACAGCTGGTGCTGATACACGGTGTGCACATATGTAAATATGTCTCTGTTAACCATCCACCACCCCTACATACAGAGAACGGGGGCGCGGGTCTGTTCCTGGTGATGCGGTCAACACAGCTGGTGCTGATACACGGTGTGCACATATGTAAATATGTCTCTGTTAACCATCCACCACCCCTACATACAGAGAACGGGGGCGCGGGTCTGTTCCTGGTGATGCGGTCAACACAGCTGGTGCTGATACACGGTGTGCACATATGTAAATATGTCTCTGTTAACCATCCACCACCCCTACATACAGAGAACGGGGGCGCGGGTCTGTTCCTGGTGATGCGGTCAACACAGCTGGTGCTGATACACGGTGTGCACATATGTAAATATGTCTCTGTTAACCATCCACCACCCCTACATACAGAGAACGGGGGCACGGGTCTGTTCCTGGTGATGCGGTCAACACAGCTGGTGCTGATACACGGTGTGCACATATGCGCCGGTCTCTCCATCTATCTCGACTCGCATGGAGAGGTGAGCAAAGCAGATAGGTGGGAGGTGCATCTCATTGTTTCAGTCAGTTTCTTTGCTCGCTTGCTTTTATGAGTTGACTTTTGAGTCGACTCAAAACGAGGTGAGCAAAGCAGAGAGGTGGGGGGTGCACCTCATTTTTTCAGTCAGTTTGTTTGCTTGCTTGATTTTTATCTCTCTCATTTTCTTTCTGCTTGATCCTTACACTCATTCCAGTGTTGCTCATATCTCCTATTATGCATTTCTCATGATGTGTGGTGTATTTGCTGGTCACAGGATGATGCCTTCATGCGTCGTGGTCGGCCTCTGTACCTTAGCCATTCCCGCCTTGCAGAGGTACGATCTCGTCCCCACGTATCTGTGCCTTCTCATATGCATCCGTTGTTTCTACCAGTTGGTTTCATTGATTGCCCCCCCACATCAAGAGCCTGAGCAACTACTAATGCTATCTCCCCCTTCCCCCCCGCCCCCACCCCCACCCTTCCATACCTAGCTCTCCCCCATCCTCGCTGTTTTATATCTGTACATTCCTGCAGAGCGTCTCGTATAGCGTCTCGTATAGTTCTGTTTCATGCATATCATGCACAAAAATCTGAGTTGTATTCTCCTGTGTTGCATCTACAGTTCCTGCACCTCTGGAAGACTGCGTCCATCAGTCATGACAGCCAGATTCTCCATGCCTCCCTTTTTGGCTCAATGATGGGGTGATTTGTAGTTGCCATTTCATATGCGTCCTGCCGAGTTCATCTGCGATGTTCTGCATAAGCAGGCCACTTGCGTTTAATGAAAGATGACTCAAACTGTACTAGAAACGACAGAAATGCTTAAAGAAAAGAAATGCATGGAATGAACCAGCTAAGGTGATGGCTACTGGAGTGTACTCTGTACATGCACTCTCCTGGCTACACTTTGGACTGACCAGGTTCAGAGAGGCCCAAATCCCGGGGTCCTTCCAACTCCGTCCAGTTGTCCATTTCCTTCCCGCGAAGACAGTTTTCTGCCGTCCGATTCTGAGTCGAAAAAAAAACGTTTCGCTGGTAACATTTCGACGTCTTGGGACTTGTCCCAAATTCTTCCTTCGGCGCTTGGAGGAACGCTCCCGTACACGAGAGACAATTAGCTTGGCAGGCACAGCAGAATACTACTAATCAAGGTGCCTCTTTGTCGTGTCGCCTCGCCACCTAATCTGTCCGCATATTATTACGCACCATGGCGACATTACTAGTTCACCTCCCCTGTTCTCATCTATTGTCGCGTCCGGAGAGCCTTTTTCTTCATCATGCTCCAGGCTCAAGCAGAACCGTGTTCCCGATCCGCAAAAGTCGTTCAGTCAAAATCAACGCAGCAGCGGGTGGTTCGGGAAAGGGATTTGGGTCCGGCCCTTCAAACAAGTCGTCGTCTAAATCCAAGGGTAGTAAGTCTTCAGGCGGGGCCAAGAAATCATCTGGGCCGTCCGTCGCCGTGCCAGAAGATCCGAAGATCACGCGACTTGTACAGCGATTGGAGGAAAAATCGTCCTCCAATCCGGCACCGACACGTGGCCATCCGTTGGTAGACCAGCGCGCAGCAGCAAAAGGCCGAGTAGACTTCGTTAAGGTGGAAGGCTGGGAGGCTGCTGGTTCAGCAGCAGGTACGGAATTAAGTCCGGACGAAATTGGCAATCTCAAAGTGAAAAGCTTCACTCCCGGCACCACTTCTCAAGGCTATGAAACTCGGGCCGAAGCTGATCAGCAGCCTCGGCAGCAGCTGGCAGAGGGAGATCCAGCCGCGCCGCAGGTAGGCCTGTACGAGCGCCTGGTGAGGCACCTGCAGGTTCTCGAGTCGCAGGGGAAGCTCTCTGTTGCTCGGGCGAAAGGGGAGCCGCCGCTGCCGTCGTTCGATCGGTGGAGGTTCGGAGCGAAGAGGTTCGGGCAATACCTAGTTGATCAGATGCATGTGCACGAGGCTCTTGACAAGGCTGTAGTACAAGCCCTTGGCGGGAAAACTGGCGGGGAGTCTGGCGGCAATGGTGGGGATGATGTGTCAGGAGCCACGAGGGCTTTAAGCCTGGTGGATCCAGCAATGGGGCTGTCGCGAAGCGAGGCATTAAAGAGCGATATCGCCTCTCTTTCTAACGTGAGTGCCACCACGGGCGCAGCAGCAGCAGCGGGATCAGAGGTAGCGGCAGGAAGAGGAGAGGCATCAGCAGCAGAAGCAGTAGTACCTGCATCTGCCACCACTGAAACCATAGCCTACGTGCGACTAATCGAGCAACTGGGTCAGAAAGCAACAGCCTCGACCAACAACAGCACGGAGCATCGCGAGCAGGATCAACCCACCCCTTCTTTCCTCTCCCTCAAATCCTCCACCACTAGCGGCAGTGGTGCTGCCTCTGCTGCCATTTCCCCTGCCGACGCTGCTCGGCTCAAGCTCTTCACCCACACGTTCACTCTCCTGGTCACGCACCTGACCAATGGCATGCGCATTGGAGCTAAGGCTGTGGAGTGCCTCCCCTCCCTGCGTGCAGCCAAGGCTGTGAGATTCTTTCAGGAGTATCCTGAGACTGTAGGGGATCCTATGAAGGCGTTTCGGGCGGCTGTGGATGACGCGGGGAGGGGGATGAGTGAGGGGGAGGTGGAACTGGTGGAGGGTGAACTGGGCCCTGCTATGGTGAAAGCTAGCCTGCTGTTGAAAGTTCTGGCGGTTGAGGAGAGGGAGGAAGTGGTCAGTGCACCCTAGGAAGATTTAGGAAGGTCTGTACCTGAAAAATCTGTAGGTTTATTATTTTGAATCATGCATGATCACAGTACGACCACTTGCATTGGAATGTCTCTCATGGAGGATCAGAAGTCCTCCCTACCCTATCAACTGGTACAGTACTACTGTAAGAATCAAGCAGCTCTTTAGTTTGCTGATGCAATACGGTACCTTACACCTAATCACAAGCATCATGTCGTTTTCGAGTTGCGTACAGATTCCAATGCAATATTTGCTGGTCCTTTGTAGTGACGCTTCACCTTACAGCCTGAGAAAGATAAAAATAAAATATAAAATCAAGGAATACCAGAGCTGCAAGAATTGTCTCATTATACAACAAGGGGAAAACTGCTAACAAGGGATAGCAAGCACGGAACTCGTCCAGATCCCTTAAACGGCTCTGCTGCGGTGTCTCGTACAGCCTCGAAACTCGTTATAGGGAGGCCAGTTTCGCCGCATTTACGAAGGATCAATCGTGATTATGCCCCGAAATTCCCTCATGGTAGCTTAGAGGGTCAGGCGAAAGTGGAGTGCGGGCCGGGCAGCAGGAAAACATATGGGCAGGCATCTCAATAATAGTAGCCGGACGAGTGCGGTGTCGAGGCGGTGTATGTCGAATCGCTTCGGTCGTCCCTGTAGCTGGCGGTGTCACGATCTCCGGCTGATGGTTGCGATGAGGGGGTGGTTACCGATGGCTGCGAAAAGCAGGCGATGTGAGAAACGAGGCGGAGAATGAAGAGAAAAGAGGTAGAGAAAAGAGGTGAGAAAAGAGAAACAAAGGAACACGAGGGTTGGGACAGGAGCGGATGGAACACAGACGCCAATCCACCTAGAAAACGACGACAATTGTCGCTGTTCAGGGATTGCGCTTGACTCAACACTCTTGCTACTAGAAGAAAAACCAAAACAAATCAACCCATCCTCTACACATGAGTGTCCCTGCTGCAGTCGCCCCGAAACTCTCGAGTCGGCTAGGCCTGACTCCCTCCCACGACTCGACTCGACTGAACGCCACGCGTGCAGAGTTCCGCTGGAAGGGCTTTCGCACCTCATCAACTCCCAACCTAACTTCAGCGGACGAGTCCTAACCGACGCATCTACACCCAGCGGCTCGAATCGCGTCCCACAATGTCAGCCTATTCCCGTGTCGGTAAGCTTACGTCGTATCGCGGCGTCTGTTCCTCTTCGTAGTTTTCCCCGGGCTGCTCCAAGTCAGTGTCAGCCTGGCTCTGCCAGTCTCCGCCTTCCTCGCCGTGATTCTCGCCGCCATCCTCGGGATTCCGCTCGTAATACAGCTCGTCCGCGTCTTCTGGATAGCCCTCTTTGGATTTATCCTCAAGCTTGTTTAGCCGTTGGGCGGCAACTATCATTGCGTACTCGCCCATGTCCATGACCTCGCTCCGTTTGTAGCCGCCCGGGAAGTAGCAGAAGTGCATCCAGAGGAACGCGAGTATAGTGAACGCTATACACACTATGATAGTAATAAACGACCACACGGAATCCCCATTGTCGAACATCATGACAGAATAACCCAAAGAAAGACAACTCCCGGGCGGTATGCACCTTGTCCTAAGATGGGTGCCTGCTAGCTACTTCAGCCAACTACGTCTTCAAAAACCACTGGTACCTATCACGATATTCTACGAAACCTCCTTGCGCTCCTGTCGCAGCGCACGGGAAGAACTATCGCACTCTAGCGGACTTGGCGGAACTGTTCTAGGACGCACCTACTCATTCTTCTAGGAAACTTGTTGATTGAGAAAGGGAACCCGAACACGGAAGGACCAAAACACAGGTGGCAAAGAGGACGATGGGCCAGACGGAGCGGACACTCTCCAGAGAGTTTTGCATGAGGGAGGGTCCTCGTTAGCTGGAGGTAGAAGGGAAGGGTGGCAAATGGGTCTCTGGCGCGTTGACGAGGGTTGGGTGCGGTCGGAGACATTTAGCTGATGTTGTTCATTTGAAACTGCTTCGTTATTCCCTAGAGGACCGCGTCAGACTGCCCGCTGCCCAAGCTCACGCCTAGTGGGCTCGACCTCTTGGTTTGTGGTATGGTCAGGGTTTGGGTCAGGCGGAACAAAAGAACGTTTTCCCTGGTTTGGGAGGGAGGGGGGAACGAGGGACGTACAGCTGGGTCACGGACGGGAACTGTATCTGTCGTTTCTCGAGCTTGTATCGAATCGATGCGTCCGAATGCTGAGGAAGAAACACCTGAACAGTTTCTGCCAGCCATACCAGCTTCGTCCATACGGAACGAACAAATGGCGTTGTGCACAACTGTGCATTTTTCAGGTAGGATTTCTGTTGGCGGGACCGTCCAACTCACGCGAAAAGGACAAGTTTGCGACTCAACAGAGGAGGGTCTGGTCGGGTTGGTTTGGATATGCTCCACATGACTCGCACCACATATTCGATAGAAACAAAAATGCGAGAGAGACCAGTGTGAAGTAGAAAGTTTTCTACTTCACAATATTCAAGCGCATAATATTGACACTTTCTATCCCATTCACAGTGGTTTATGTATAGAGTGGAAAATGCTACAGAATAATCTTATACATATCTGCTCAGAAGGTGACTGACTTAGACGTGGCTTGTAAAATTGGGAGAGGTGAACACCTAGAAGGCCAATCTTTTCATGTAACGTTATAGAACAACGCAGCCGAAATGCAATATTGTTATCCCACATTGATGTTTCATCAACTCAACATTTGATTGATATGAAATTAGCGTCATATGACTAAGCTATCTATGGTTGTTGGATAGTGGAGACTTGAGACCATTGTCCATCTGCAGCCTCCTTCCAGAGCGACACATTGTTATTCGCATCCGAAACAGCAAGAATGTTTCCAGTCAGCGACCAGCTGACCCTCCACACAGGTACCTTGAAGTCCTGCAGCAGCAGAGGTTTCCATGGGTCCGACTCGCTCGTCTGGGTCCATATCAGTACAGTACCATCCTGTAGATATTGGGGTATAGGAATAGAAAAAGCACAATGTACAATCAATAACCCAAGCAGTCACGAAAAATGTAGGGTAAGGAATTATTGAAACGCTCATCTTCAGGCAGTAAAATCAGCACAATTCTTGACTGCTTCACCAAGTCAGACCCACCTGTGAAGCACTGGCAATGGTACTCTTTGGCAGGCCCAGGTTCGGCGCCCAAGCCACATCCCGAACCCAATCCGTGTGCTTCGTCAAACCGGGCGGCGCACCATCCAGCCGCCACCCTCCCCCTCCCTCACTCGAATACCGCCAAATCTTCACCATATTATCACACCCGCCCGACACAAACCGGAGCACCGGATTCGGACCAGACCCCAGGAAGCTTCCTGGAACCGTAGCAGGTGCCCAGGAAACAGAGGTAACCCCCACGGGATGGGCTTGGGGGATACGAGAAACATCCCAGCCGCCGTCGGCACGGTGGGTGAGGATGGAGATAGAGCCATCAGAGGAGGCGCATGCGAGCACCAACCCATACTCATGTGGCGCCCAGCTGATGCTATTGACTGAGCCTTCATGGTCCGAAAATACCTGCGCCTGGCGTGGGGAGAGGTGGGAGGGGAGAGTGGGAAAAGGAAAACCAGACAACAAAGCAAGAGGAGGTAAAGGAGAGAAGAAGAGGGTTTTGGGAGGTTCGAGGGAGACATCCCAGCCACCGTCGGCTCGGTGGGTGAGGATGGAGATGGAGCCATCAGAGGAGGCGCATGCGAGCACCAACCCATACTCGTGTGGCGCCCAGCTGATGCTGTTCACTGACCCCTCGTGGTCCGAGAATACCTGCGCCTGAGGTGTTGACAGCGCGAGAACACAAACCAAACAGCAAAGGAAGGAAAGGGGATATAAAGGAGTGCAGGGGAGAGCAGCAAGGAGGGATCAGGGTGAAGGAAGAGGGCTTGAGGGATCCGAGAAGCATCCCAGCTGCCGTCGGTGCGGTGGGTGAGGATGGAGATGGAGCCATCAGAGGAGGCGCATGCGAGCACCAGCCCATACTCGTGTGGCGCCCAGCTGATGCTGTTCACTGAGCCCTCGTGATCTGAAAACACCTGCGCCTGGTGTCGGGAGAGGGGGGAGAAGGAAAAATTAATCCACTAACCCACCTTAATCCACTAACCCACCTTAATCCACTGACGATTGACGCACCTTCAGTCATTCCCTCACCTTGACCCACTGGTTCTCCTTGGTTTCCTTCCAAATGATGACTTTGCGGCCCATGCCCTACCCCTCACCCAGTACTCTCCACCCATAGAGTCATACCTTAATTCACTAACGAACCTTGATCCACTGGTTCTCGCTGGTTTCTTTCCAGATGATCACTTTGCGGTCATACGAGCACGATGCGAGGATGGACCCGAATTTAGGGTGGCCCCACGCCACCTGCCAAACCGGACCCTCGTGACCTGCGGATTGACGGGATGTATACGTTGGAGTTCAACAAACGTGTGCCGTACGGTAATTGACATGGCTACGATCGCCATTTGAGACACTGTCAAACCGGACCCTCGTGCCTTGCGGGGAGACGGGAACAATGGGAATGACACTATCGAACATGGTCCCGAACGCGAAGAGCGACGCTTGCAAATCGGCACCAGAAAGCAAAAGATTGTGAACTAGGCCAACGATATGAAAATTAAGGCGTATGGTGGTGGTAAAGGCGACGAGACTAAAACATGCATGTGAGGGATGGTGTAAAATGTAAACGTTCGATGAGCGATCGAAAAGCGACGAGTCCGATCCGGCTATGTTAGAGGCGTCATTGAGAACTGACCAATGAGATCCGCGAGATGCGAGTGGTGGTCGCCTGCGACGGAGAAGATGCGAATGGAGCGATCGGACGACGCCGTCGCCAGTCGCTTGCCGTAGTAGTCCATCTGCACGTCGTGAATCGCGTCGGCATGGCCCGACTCAATGATCTGCGTCCCCGCTGTCGCCATCGTGCCGCGCTGTTAACCAGCCCGGTGTAACTAACTTCAGGAGATAAGTCTAAAAAAGGAATGACTTGAAAAGTGATCGGTTTGTATGGATCCGTAACCTTCGGATTCAAATCAAGGCGTTTGCGAATGTGATCGAGCGGAACTGAGGATCGACGGCGAGGGAAACGACGTACGGACACTTCGCGCGGTTATTATTGCCGAAGCGTCACTAGCAACAAATCTGGTCACGACTTTCAGGTGTCAGAAATTAGGTATCGGAGAGATTCGAGCTAGAGACTTTAATCCCGATACTGAGAATTCTACATACATGCTGTAGACATTCAGGTTACGTTGCCTTGTTTCTGATCAACCAAGTCAAATGTTGATATTCAGAGCAGCAGGACAAATCCAGATTCAGACACATCTCAAATTAAAAATGGCAATGCATAAATAATACACCCTACCTTGTATGCAACCACCACCATAGCTTCTACATTTTCCACTTTAGGCAAACTACCTTGGCATCCTATTCAAGGCACTATAGTACCATCTACAGCATCATCTAAACCAGACTTACCGCCTTCAACTGCTACTGTATCTGCGTCTGCAGCTGGAAAACTAGTCACCAGGAAACTACCAGCCAGGCCTGTGCCTTTGAAGCCTGCCTCCTCCTTCTGCGTGTCATCCACAACTGGGAGCTCCTCTGACGGAACAAGGCGCGTGGGGGGGGAAGGGAGGGAAGAGGGAGGAGAAAACGAGGGGAGGAGAAAGGAAGTGAGCAGCGTTTTGGGACGACTAGGGTGAGCAACTTTAGTTACGGGGAATAGAGAGAGGTGTACGAGACTGAGACGAGCTACTACAAACCCACCAACACCCGGACCATCTGTCCTTAGGCATATTTAGATTCACCAGCTCAAGCTATCTGGCTTGCAATAAGAAAACCCATCCATCCATTTACCTGCAATGTCCCTGTCCTTGTGCACTTTAGTATCCCCCACCCAAAGCCGCGCACTTGCAAACGCTCCTGCTTGCACAGACCCTTAAGGCTCTCCAATGCAGGGATTTCCTCAGAACCAACTACAACATTCACCCACGTACCTGCAATGTCCCTGTCCCTGTGCACTCTAGTATTCCCCACCCAAAGCCGCGCACTTGCAAACGCTCCTGCTTGCACAGACCCTTAAGGCTCTCCAATGCAGGGATTTCCTCTGAACCAACTACAACATTCACCCACGTACCTGCAATGTCCCTGTCCCTGTGCACTCTAGTATTCCCCACCCAAAGCCGCGCACTTGCAAACGCTCCTGCTTGCACAGACCCTTAAGGCTCTCCAATGCAGGGATTTCCTCTGAACCAACTACAACATTCACCCACGTACCTGCAATGTCCCTGTCCCTGTGCACTCTAGTATTCCCCACCCAAAGCCGCGCACTTGCAAACGCTCCTGCTTGCACAGACCCTTAAGGCTCTCCAATGCAGGGATTTCCTCTGAACCAACAACAACATTCACCCACGTACCTGCAATGTCCCTGTCCCTGTGGACTTTAGTATCCACCACCCAGAGCCGGGCACCAGCAAACACACCAGCCTGCACCAGCGACACACCCTCAAGCTCCTCCAACTTAGTAACTTCCTCCGTGCCAAACCCTATACGCTGGTTCTCAGGAACCACTCCGAGGGCCTCCCAGATCTGTAGCTTCAGCTGGTGCAGGGTGGTTGTGCCTGATACCCTTATTGTCACTCGGCTTCCCCCCGTTCGTAGGGGTCGTCTGTATGGTATGGCCAGTGGGAACCCTGCTTTTGGCCGTGTGGGATTTGCACTTGAATGGATAACAGTATCACTGCGGTTGTCAGCAGCAGCACCGCCGGCAGCGGCACTGATAGCAGCAGCACCAGCATCTGAACTGGCAGCAGTAATGGTAGCGTCAGCAGCACCAGTCGCACCAGCATCACAAGTGTTACCAGCAACAACACTTGCAGCAGCACCAGCAGCAGCAGCAGCAGCACCAGCACCACCACCACCAGCACCACCAGCAGCAGCAGCAGCAGCAGCACCAGCACCAGCACCAGCACCAGCACCAGCACCAGCACCACCAGCAGCACCAGCAGCCGATGCAAACCGGCGCGACACAGTAAGCGGCGGGAACCCATACGTAGACGCAACAACAGAGGGGGGAGGCTCAGACCCCCTCACCATCTCCACCACTATCTCCTCCTCCTCGTAATCCCCCCTCTGTAACTCCTCCCTCATAGCCCTCTCCTCCTCCTCTGCAATCTCCTTGGGGTTCTTGTAGCAGATGTGACACAAAGGAGGGACGGTTTCCAGGCAGTATGGGCTGGGGATGGAATGGTCTCTGCGGCTCCTCCCCGCATTGGATTTGTGATCTTGTGAAGATTTGTGATCTTGTGAAGATTTGGGATTTGCTTCGTGGTTGTTGGAGGAAAGATTTGATTTGATTCGTGCGCAGATGGCAGAGGCGGGCGTGCCGCCCCACTGGCTGCTCAGCTCGTCCCATTCTGACCGCGTGACTATAGTGAAGGGTTCCTGAGGTGTCACAGAGGTGCAGAGGTAGGGGGAGTGATAAAGAGGGGTGGAAATGGGGAGGTAGTGTGTCAAGAGAGGTGAGAAGTGGTATGGATGGATGAAGAGGCTTTGAGACGTCAAATTACAAACTTACCATGACGTGCGTGTTCTAGGAATGGGCTACTCACAGAATCGGGGTGTGCCTGACTGAACAAGGTCGTCCTTCCTGCTGACCGCAATTGGCAGCGGCGCAACCAGCCCCCCATGCTGCTGACAGCGCATGACCCTCACTGCCCCCTCCAGACGTGGGAAAACACTTTGGGACGTCTTAAAACAGGAAAGGGGTACTCACCGAGTCAGAGTTTGCTTGAACCAGCTCGCCTTTCCTGCTGACAAGAGCCGGCAACGGCGCAACCAGCCCCCCATGCTGCTGACAGCGCATGACCCTCAGTGCCTGCTCAAGACTGGGAGGAGATTGCTGACAAGCTGTTGCCCCTGCAGTTGCAACAGTCCCTCCTTCACACCCTGCAGCTGCTACAGCTGCAGACTTGCTGGCAGCAGGTGGAGCGGAGAGGAAGGTTCGCCAGAGGGCGACCCAGGAGGAGGGGATGAGCGCGTAGGGGTACTCAATGGGCTCCTCTTGCTTTGGAGGCGCCTCAGAGGAGGGGATGAGCGCGTAGGGGTATCCAGTGGGCTCTTCTAGCTTTTGATCCGCCTCAAAAACAGACTTCTCGTGACTTTGAGGCGGGTCAAAAAGAGGCTCCTCTTGCTTGCTCTTGTACAGTGAACGAGATGGAGAGGTTGGGGAAGGGGAGGAGGCGCGAGGGGCAGCAGTGGGGGAAGAGGGGCGGGAGGAGGTTAGAGAGGAGGGGTGGGGAGAGAGGGAGGAAGGCAGGGCGAGAGGAAGGGAGCGGAGGGAGAAGAGGCGGAGGAACTGTTGGCGCTGCTGCTGCTGCACGAGACTCAGAGCATCCGCTTGCTCTGCCGCCTCTGCTGCTGCTGCCACGCACACGGCACACTCTGCAGTAGAAGCTGGGAACTCCAAGTCCTGACTGTGAATTCCCGTGTGAAGTAACGCGGGACTGTGCACTTGCAGGGCGAGGCTTGGTACCTGCAAGTGCTGGGAGTGCACAGTCCCGCGCAATGCACTCCCAGCACTTGCAGGGTGAGGCTTGGTCGACACACCCTTTGCTTCTGCCACCACCGCCTCTACCTTCTCGTCTTTGATTGCAGCTTCAGTGATATCTGCTCCATTGCTCGCTAGAGACTTGCCTTCTTCCTTACCCGTACAACGCTCCCCTTCACTCAAACTTCCCTCCTTTTTCAAACTTGCATCCCTCCTCTTCAAGCTCTTATCCCCCTTCAAGCTCTTATCCCCCTCTTGCACACTCTCGCTCTCCTCCCTTTCTCTCTCCTCAGCCTCTCTCACTCTCTCCTCCTCTCCTCTCCTCCTCCCCTCCTCCGCCCACCGTTTCAGCCACCCCCAAACCTCCCTGCTCACAACTGCTCTCCTCCCCTCCCCCGCTCTACCCTCCGGCATCAACCGCTGATGCGGACAAATGATGCCGCCCAGGGGGTTGCTGTCAGCCGCGGTAGGGGCGTCAGCTTTTGTCCTTCTCAGCCAGTTGTTCAGCCTGAGAGAGGGGAGAGGGGGGGAAGGGGGGAGGAGGAGTGGGGAGGGGGGGAAGGCATGGTGGGGAATGGGGAGGTGGGGTGGGGAGAGGGGGAGAGGGCGTCAGCTTTTGTCCTTCGAAGCCAGTTGTTCAGCCTGAGAGAGGGGAGAGAGGGGGAAGGGGGAAGGAGAGGGGAGAGGGGGAGAGGGGGGGGGGGGAGGGGGAGAGGGGGAGTCCTAAGGCATCTAATAGTGCCTTGTTCAGCTTTTGTGACAAAAGATAGGAAAAGTGGGGAGGTGGGCGATATGGGGAGGTGGGAAGGGGGGTGGTGGAATTGTGGGTGCAAACATGCATGCACTCACCAGGGCTTAGACACGTAGTATCCTAGCCCATCTATGCCCCTTCCTATGACGTTTTCTTCCACCAGCAGTCGCACGCGCGCCCTCTCCTCCCTGTAGCTGCCAGCACTCACTGCTGCTAGCGCCTCAGCGATCAAGCACTCAGAGCAGCACGCTGCCTGGGAGAGAGCGGGACCCCCACCATACTGCAAAGAACAGCAGGGAATAGAGGGGGAAACAGGAGCAGAAGGGTGAGAGAGAGATGAGCAGGCACTCACTCTCCCTGCACTCACAGCTGCCAGCGCTGCTGCCACCAGACCAGGCACTCAGAGCAGCACGCTGCCTGGGAGAGGGCCGGGCCGGGCCACCTCCATACTGCGATCAGCAATAAGGTGACAGGAACAGAAGCAAAAACAACAGCGGAAAGGGTTTATATGGTTGTATTTTGAGTCGACTCAAAATACAAAAACAACGGCGGAAAGGGTTTATGTGGTTGTCTTCCAGCCAGCGCCACTGCCACCAGGCACTCAGAGCAGCAAGCTGCCTGGGAGAGGGGGGGCTGCCTTGGAGAGGAGTATGGCCCATGCGATGGGGGATATTCGCTTCACGAAAGGCAGGCTAGCTAGGGAATTTTTACTCTCTTTCTTACTTGCTAAAGCTTTTCTCTAGTACTGCTGCCCTTCTGCCATGAGTGACGACAACCCTTGGAGAGTAGTATGGGTATGGCCCATGCGATGGGGGATATTCGCTTCACGAAAGGCAGACAAGCTAGCCCGAGGCAGGCACCTGCGTGTGCATGCGTGGGTGGGTGGTCGACTTTTGAGACGTCTCAAAAGTCGCATGTGCATGGGTGGGTGGGTGGTGCAAACAAGTGCTTCAGTCATCGCGAGTGGGAGCATTCTCTGCATCACACATGCTCCCACAAAGGTTCACTCACACACACGCACCTGGGAGGGAGTCCAGCATGGCCCATGCGTTGGGGGGGATACGCGCTTCATGAGAGGCAGGCTAGCTCGAGGCACCAGCGGGTGACGGGTGGAACACTCTTCTTGCTCGGGGTGGCAGGAGGTGGCAGGTGCTCAGGGTGCAGCATTCTTCGGCTCTTTCTGTGCCACCCTTACTACCTACCCGCAGATATGCTCCACGTACCTGGGAAACGTCTCAAAACCGCGTGGAAGTAGACGACTTATGAGACGTCTCAAAACCGCGTGGAAGTAGACGACTTATGAGACGTCTCAAAAACTTCTGTGCCACCCTTACTACCTACCCGCAGATATGCTCCACGTACCTGGGAGACCAGCATGGCCCATGCGATGGGGGATATTCGCTTCATGAGCGGCAGGCTAGCTCGAGGCACCAGCGGGTGGCGGGTGGAACACTCTAGCTCGGGTGTGTAGCATTCTTCGGCTCTTTCTGTACCACCCTTGCTGCCTACCCGCAGATATGCTCCACGTACCTGGGAGACCAGCATGGCCCATGCGATGGGGGATATTCGCTTCATGAGAGGCAGGCTGGCTCGTGGCACCAACCCGTGTGCAGAGCACAGGAGAAGGGTGTTGTCGATGGGGCCTCTGTGGGGCGGCGAGGGGAGGGGAAGGTGGGAGGAGTGGGGAGGAGTGGGGAGGAGTGGGGAGGGGACTTTTGAGTTGACTCAAAAGTGTTGTCAATGGGGCCTCTGCGGGGAGGCGCGGGGAGGGGAAGAGGGAGGGGAATGTGGGAGGAGTGGGGAGGAGTGGGGAGGAGTGGGGAGGGGCAGTGGGAGAGCTGAGGCAGGGGGGATGAGAGGCAGGCTGGCTCGAGGCACCAGCCCATGGGCAGAGCACAGGAGAGGGGTGTAATGGGGCCTCTGCAAAACCGGAAGGATAGGATGAGGAGGGGATGGAGACACGAGCGCGAAAAGGGCCATGTGAGGGGAGGGGAAGCCAACGGGTGAAGTTGTGGGGTGTGGAGATGTGGATGTCTTTTGAGTCGACTCACAAGTCACCTGGATAGGATGAGGAGGGGACGGGGACACGAGCGCGAAAAGGGGGACGTGAGGGGAAGGGAAGCCAACGGGTGAATGTGGGGTGCGGAGATGTGGGGTGCGGAGATGTGGGGTGCGGAGATGTGGGTGGATGTGGGGCGTGGGGTCGTGAAACCAAATCTCTGGGCTCACTCAAAAAGAGGTGCAGCTGTGGTGTGAATGAATGACTCACGGCAGCTCCTCATTGTCAGCCCACGCCTTGAGCCACTCGATGCTGATCCAAAAGAGCTAAAGGCAACTCTTGAATCGACACAAAGGCCACTCAAGGTGTGGGGTGGGGTGGGGTAGGGTGGGATGGTGTGGGGTGTGGTGGTGTGGAGTCATGGGACTCACGGCAGATCCTCATTGTCAGCCCACGCCTTGAGCCACTCGGTGCTGATCCAAAAAAACTCCTCCTCTTCCCCCTCTGCCTCCACTGCCACCTCCTTCTCCTCCTTCTCCCCGTCTCTCCTTCCTCCTCCTGTTCCTTCCCCTCCCGCACCAACGGGCATCAGGGAGAGCACGTTTCGCACCTCGCTCCTCCTCTCCTCAATTCCCTTCCTCGTTTGCTCGTCCCACCTCCTCTGCTCCTCGCACTGCTGCTGAAACGCAGCATTCGCTTTAGTCACCTCGTCCAAGAGAAACCGGGGCAGACGGACATAGTCACCTCCCAAGAGGAATAGATCTCCTTTGTTAGCTGCTTCCGCGCTAGCTTCAGGCGCTTTAAAACCCGCGTCATGTGCCTCTGCTGCAGTCGTTTCAGGTGCTTTCACAGCTGCATCAGGTGCTTCTGTTGTTGCTTCAGGAGCTTCAACAGCCACACCCGATTCTCTTGTTGCTTCAGGTGCTTTAACAGGCGAATCAGGTGCTTTAACATCACCTGTCTCAATTCTCTCACAGTCCATCCCACCTGCATCCGCTCCTGATTCAGGTGCCACCCTCTCAGCAGCACCCTTAGCAACACCATCCCCTGTCATTGATTCACCCCCACCACTGCCACTACCATCCCCTCTTATTGTGACACACCCACCCTCACCTGCACTTTCTGCCTTATCAAAGTTAGCAAGCCCACTTATCCCCACCCCCTCCCCTTCCTCTCCTTCCCCAAAGCCCTCCCGCACGTATATCAGCATGTAGGCATCAGTTGACGTCACCTCCTCCCCCTCCCCCTCCCTCTCTCCCTCCCAATCTTGACCGTTCACTGCAGTCCCCCCTTTCCTGGGACCACTCAGCCTGCACACCCCACCACCGCTCTCCGCACCATGCACACCGTTACAAACCGCCTCTGGCTTCTTGCATGTCACTGTTACATGTTGAGCCAGGGACGCGGATCGCCGTTGCCTTACAGGTGCTTTTCCAGGTGCTTTTCCAGGTGGAGCAGCAACAGATTCCGCCAGCAATGAGATGTGCTTCTTCAGAGGCGCCTTGCCAGAGAACTCAAGTGATTCTTCAGGTGGATTCTCAGGAAGTGGCTTGAGGAACGACTCAAGGCCTCGTTGTCGCCCCACTCTGCGTCTCTTCTGTGGTCCAAGCAAGGGGGGTTGAGCGTTGCCAATCGCTGAAACCTCCAAAACCCACTCCTCCTCACTCCCCTCCTTACTCCGCTTACCGTCCCTTGCATCTGCACCGTCAGCAATCCGATCCAAGTCAATTGGAACAGAGTCAGTCCCATTAGGGTCAATCCGATCACGGTCAGTCGCATCAAGCACAATCAAATCAGGGTCAGTCCCAGGAGGGTCAATCTGATCAAGGTTAGTCCCAGTAGGGTCAGTTTGCTCAAGGTCAATCGGACGCGAGTCAGTCTTTTCCGAGTCAATCCTTGCAGAGCGAGTCCCATCAGTGTTGTTAATTCCATCAAGGTCAATCAGCTGAGGGTCACAGACATCTGAAGTCGCTTCACTCTTCTCATCAATCACATCAGTCATATCATCAACCCCTGCCGTCCCTTCCCCTGCTGTCCTTGCTGCCCCTGCTGGCCCTGCTGTTCCTCCTGCTCCTGCTGTTCCTCCTGCTCTCTCCTGCTGCCCCTGCTGCCCCTGCTGCTGCTGCTGCTGCTGCTTCTGCTGCCCTCGCTTTTCCTGCTATCTCTACCTCTCCTGCGGCCGCTGCTGCTCCATCTCCTGCTCCTGCTACCGCCTTTTCCACTCCGCTACCGCTAGTCCCGCTCCTCTCTGCACACCCCACAGCCTTCCCAGCCAACTGAGTCTCTAACCTCTCAGCCCCCTTCACTGATTCTTTTTCAGCGCGCGCCTCTGCCCCTTTTTCAGCCCGTTTTTCAGCCCCCTTCACTGATTCTTTTTCAGCCCCCGCCTCTGCCCCTTTTACAGCCCGTTTTTCAGCACCCTTCTCAGCCACCTTCCCCTCCCCCATGGGGTGTCCGCCCAGCCTCACCACCTCTTCATCGTTAAACAACCACCACTCCCCACTGCGCACATCTTTAACATGCGCCACATAGTGCCCGCACGAAGCCTGGCTGCCCTTGTGCTGCAGAATCGCTACTAATTGGTACTTCAGAGTTCGTTCAGCTTCCGCTGCAGGCCCGGCCTTCTTCTGACCAGCTCCCACTGCAGTTTCTGCTCTTCTTTGTTCTTCTTCCGCTTCTGTTTTTCCTTCTGCTGATTCTCCCTTTCCTTCTGCTTCTTCCCCTCCTCCTCCTCCCCTTCCTCCCCTTCTTGCTGCACTACCTCGCCTCTTTCCCCCGCCCCATTGCCTGAACTCTTCCCCTCTATCCCCACTTCTCCTACTGCCGCGCTTTCCTCCCTTTTGCCCCTCATCGCCAGCAGCACAGCCCCCTGCTTTACTCTCTACCCGTGTTCCTCCTGCCCCTGCCCCTGCCCCTGCCCCTGCCCCTGCCCCTGCCCCTGCAGTTGCCCCTGCAGTTGCCCCTGCCCCTGCAGTTGCCCCTGCAGTCGCCCCTGCCCCTGCAGTTGCCCCGGCAGTCGCCCCTGCCCCTGCAGTCGCCCCTGCCCCTGCAGTTGCCCCTGCAGTTGCCCCTGCCCCTGCAGTTGCCCCTGCAGTTGCCCCTGCTCCTGCAGTTGCCCCTGCAGTCGCCCCTGCCCCTGCAGTTGTCCCTGCTTCTCTGCAGGAATCACCCCCCGGTTGCACGTACAGTGAGAGGTCGAGAGTTAGAGGGATGCGGACCCCCGATGTGACTTTCTTCTTGCTCATCGTCTGCATTGGGATAGTTGGACAACATGATACGCGATGAGACAAGGAGTTAGGTTTGAAGCGTCTCAAGACTCGTACGGTGAGAGGTCGAGAGTCAGGGGGGTGCGGACCCCAGATGTGACTTTCTTCTTGCTCATCGTCTGTGTGGTGTGGGGACGCAACGGATACACATACGCATCGTCTGTGTGATTCTGTAAACAGATACACTGTTGCTGAAGAGTCGACTCAAGAATCACCTCGTGTGGGCTGGACATCTGGTCTGGTCCACTCTCCATCTGGTCTGGTCTGGTGGGCTGGACATAAACATAATAATAAAATAGTAATAATAAAAATAATAAAATAATAATAATAATAATAATAATAATAACTCAAAAGGACAACTGCACCACTTACACCTTCGCGTCGAACACGAAGCGCATGAGGTGCAGGTTCAGCGTGGGCGGCACGCTGCGAATGCACACCCTCCTCCTCCTCGCCATACCCGCACCAAACATCTGAACACTGTTATCTCACATCTGTACCACACAGTACCACCATACACACCTTAGCATCGAACACAAAGCGCATGAGGTGCAGGTTCAGCACGGGCGGCACGCTGCGAATGCACACCCTTCTGGTGGCGTCCGTTTTGCGCCCACACTGCTCGCAGCACATCTGGTTACCACCCTCCAGCCGCTCCTCTGCTGTGTAACGCTCAAGACACTGCTGTACTGACACACCACTGTCCTTCCCCTCTGCCGAAGCTGCTGCTGCCGACGCCGCCGCAGCTACTGCTGCTGCTGCTGCGCCTCCCTTGGTCTTGCGCTTGAGAGGCCCCTTCGTCTGGGGAGGCACTGCTGGTGGTGCTGGTGATTGTGGTGGAGAGTGCAGGGGTAGCTCGAGCTCGTAAAAGGGAACGAGGCGGGAGGACGACGCAGACGGCTGCCCGCACTCGCAGCACCTGGTGGGTTGAGGGCGGCGTGGGGTGGGGTGCAGTGCAGTGCAGTGCGGGGTAATGTGGTAGGGCGTGGTGGGGAGAGGTGGAGTGAATTGGTAATTGTGCTGTTATTTGATCTGGTAATTGTGATTGTGATTGTGGTGGTGCTTGGAGTGTGCAGGGGCAGCTCGAGCTCGTAGAAGGGGACCAGGCGGGAGGACGAGGCTGACGGCTGCCCGCACTCGCAGCACCTGGTGGCGGTGTGGTGGGGTGGGGTGTGGCGTGATGCGGTGTGGTGTGGTTCGATATGGTGGAACTTGGAAAGCTGGGCTTACAACACGACTGAGCAAACAGGCACACGTGCTAGCACATGCTTTAAGGCAAAGCACCAGAGGGTTGCACGTGGCAAGCACAAGCCACTCACGTGGTCACATAGGAGTACGTCCCTCGGAACAGATGCGCCAGAAAGCCACCTGGCACTACAGGATTGGCTGTCCCATTGGCAGAAAGTGCAGGGATGGAAGACACGTTAGAGGAGGAGATGACGCGGGAGGAGGCGAGGGAGGAAGAGGAGAGGAGCGACTCTAGAAGGGAGAGAAACAGTTTCATGAATTCCTGACCGTCCTGCTGCACGTCACTGTCTAACTGAAGGACGTCCGTCAACTTTGACGGATTCACCACTGACCGGCAGCCAACCGTCAGGTTGACGAAAATGCGAGCCAACTCTAACAGGACCGGGTGCTGACGCAGCGTGACGTCATCCGTGGCGAAAAATCCGCGCAGGAAACCCGGGATTCGATATAAGCACTGGAGGATGCTGTTGATGTAGCAGGTCGCGCCGAGATTGGTCAGACCTACGGGGGATGACGTGGATTCGCGAAGCTCCGCGGAAAGATCATCCGCATCTCGGGAAATATTAGAAATATTCCGCCATAAGCCGCGTTTGCGGAAGGTTCCGGGAAGCGGGGCGAGGCCGCAGAAACAGTTGGGGTTATCTTTGGAGTTGACTCGGCAGCCGTGGCAGACGGGAGACGACAAGCGGAATGCGATGTCGCGTTGCTTATATGTGACTGTAACGGTGGCTGCTATTTCCCTGCATCATGCACCAGCAATCAGTGTAACATTAAAAACGTCGCACATAGAAGCCATGTCAGCGCATGTAAAAATGATAAAAATTAGAGGAAACAGAGGAAATGCAGGACAGGTTAGAGCAAAGCGGGGAGTACCTGAAGGCGAGGAGAAGGGGATCGACCGCCTCTCCCTGATCGCGCTTCTTACGCGCGCGAGAGCTGCTCGCGCTGCCGGCTCGTCGCTTCATGGTGTCTGGTCAGAGCACATAGAAAAACAAATATTGTGAAAGAGGCTTCACAGTGAAGCTTACCATTCACAGTGAAAGAGGGTTCACAATAGAAAATTTGATATTTGCGTTATATTAAATAGTGAAGAGGATCCTGTCGGGTGCTTGGTCTAGTGGTATGATTCTCGCTTCGGGTGCGAGAGGTCCCGAGTTCGATTCTCGGAGCACCCCTTTACTTTTGCTTTGCGTGGGTGGGTGCTCCCCCTAGACTCTGGTACTCTTTGACGAGCGTTGACAACAGAAATACCTTCTCTCATCCCCAATGTGGGTGGGCATTTGGCAACTAACGGATACGGTTCAATGAAGCTTAGTAATAAAGGTACAGTACAGCCGACACTCTCGAGGAGCGCAATACAAGAGTCTTTAGGGTGACGAAAACAGTGGTATTACGAGGCTTGGCATCCCAAACACAGCAATAACTTAATCAACTTCAAGCCCAGTAATCTCACATCACATCATCATCACCTCATTTGCTCTCTTCCTCACCTTGAACTTCCAACTCGTACACTGTAAAGAGCCACTCCCTTTCAACATTCGAGTTGTATTGTATCCCTCTCAGCCACACACCTATAGCTGCATCATCATGCCTGAGGTACACTCCATTACCTTTGGGTCGATGCAGAAGTACCATTCAGCGCCATTCAGCACCCCACACCACAGCTTCCCTTTCGCTCAGCCAACTGCCTCTTCCTTGCCCTCATAGCCTGCCCCCTCAGGCACGCATCAACTGCTGCATTATCACCCCGGATGCACTCCCTTAGCCACTGGTGCTGCTCTGCTTCTCTGCTAACTCTCAGCACCCCACACCAGACCCACTGCCCTTGCGCCCAACCAACTGCCTCTTCCTCGCCCTCATAGCCTGCCCCCTCAAGCACGCATCGATCGCCGCATTGTCACTCCTAATACACTCCATAAGCTGCTGCTCTGCCGCCATAAGTGCCGCCTCCGCTGCTGCCCTCTGCTTCCTAAGCGTCGCCACCGCACTTAGCAAAGCGGCAGTGGACATGCTGCTGATGTCAGCCCCGGGCTCCAGGCCCGGGATCCGAACCACCAGCGGCCAAGGCTGGGCAGGCTCGGGAGGAGTCGGAGGCTCGGGAAGAGGTGGGAGGTCGGGAAGGGAGAAGGATTTGGGGTCTGAGGCAGGCGAGACTAGGGGATTTTGAGGGGCAGCAGTATGAGGACCTGTCTGCTCGAAATCAGGATTGAGTGCTTCTGAAGAGGCAAGCAGAGCATTAGATGCTGATACCACAGAATCAGCAGCAGGCTCAGCAGGCTGAGCAGGCTTGGCAACCGCAGGCTCGGCAGACTCTGAGACAGCAGGTTTAGAAGGCTCAACAGCGGCAGGTTTGGCAGGATCATCAGTGGCAGGTTTGGTAGTATCAGCAGCAGGTTCGGCAGGCCCAACAGAGGCAGATTTGGCTGGCTCAACAGCAACAGGTTCGGCAGAATCAGCGGCATTAGGTTCGGCAGACTCAGCAGTGGTAGTCTCGGCAGACTCAGTAGCAGCAGCTTCGGCAGTCTCAGCAGCAGCAGGTTCGGCAGAGTCAGCGGCGGCAGGTTCGGCAGAACCAGCAGAGGCAGACTCGGCAGTCTCAGCAGCGACAGGCTCTGCAGATTCAGCAGTGGCAGGTTCGGCAGGCTCAGCAGCAGCAGGCTCGGCAGATTCAGTAGCAGCGGGTTCGGCAGACTCAGCAGCGGCAGGTTTGGCAGACTCAGCAGCGACAGGCTCGGCAGACTCAGCAAAGGCAAGTTCGGCAGAATCAGCAGCAGCAGGTTCAGCAGACTCAGCAGCAGCAGCAGGCTCGGCAGACTCAGCAGCGGCAGGTTCGGCAGAACGAGGAGAGACAGTCTCAGCAGCAACAGGCTCTGCAGACTCAGCAACGGCTGGCTCGGCATTCTCAGCAGCAGCAGGTTCGGCAGATTCAGCAGCAACAGGTTCGGCAGACTCAGCAACGGCAGGCTCGGCAGACTCAGCTGCGGCAGGTTTGGCAGATTCAGCAGCGGCAGATTCGGCAGACTCAGCAGCAGCAGGCTCAGCAGACTCAGCAACTTCAGGTTCGACAGACTCAGCAGCAGCAGGTCCGGCAGACTCAGCAGCAGCAGGCTCGGCAGATTCAGAAACTGCAGGTTCGGCAGACTCAGAAGCAGCAGGCTCGGCAGACTCAGCAACAGCAGGTTCAGAAGACTCAGCAGCAACCAGCGGGGCAGACTCAGAAACAGCAGGGTTGGAAGCATCAGCAGCACCACCAACAGCAGCAGCACCAGCAGCAGCACCAGCAGCAGCAGCAGCAGCGGCGCTCAGCTGTCTGGTGAGGCCAGCACGGGCCTGTACGGCCTTGAAGTGAGAGAAGAGTGCTGAGAGGTACGTCTGAGAGGAACCCAGCAGCTGGTGGGGGGACAGGAGAAGAGGGGAAGGGAGGGGAGAAAGGTTAGGTCGCGGACGTTGAGACGTTTCAAGACTTGAAGTGAGCAAAGAGCGCTAACGGGTTGAGATGATCCCAGAAGCTGGCGGCGGGAAGCAGGGGGAAAAGGAAGGGCAGGGGGTGGGGGGAGAAGAAGGGCAGGGGGTGGGGGGAGAAGAAGGGCAGGGGGTGGGGGGAGAAGAAGGGCAGGGGGTGGGGGGAGCGGGCGTGGGCTTGAAGAAGTCACGCTTCTAATCATCCCACCTCAAGCCCATGCTCACTCAAGGTCCTAACCAGGTCGCCACCAGGCCCCAATCACCTCACCTCCAGTGCGCGCAGCAGCTCCCCCTCCAGCTCCTGCCTGTCGCGCTCCCACGACTCTGCAGCCACCTCACTCGCCTCTGCTGCTGCCTGCACCTCCTGTGCTGCCACCGCCGCTTCCCCTGCTAGCTGGTCGTACTCTGCATAGAGGTACAAGGGCGTGCAACAGGGTTGGTGGTGGTACAAGAGTGTTTCGCAAAGAGTGGAGGGTGGGAGATCAGAGACGAGAGACCGCCTCTGCTGCTGCCTGCACCTCCTGTGCCACCACCGCCGCTTCCCCTGCTAGCTGGTTGTACTCTGTATGTAGGCAGAAGGGTGTATAACAGGCAGAGAATTGAAGGCTAGGTTATTAGGGATGGGCATGGTTGGTTGATTGCATTTCCTCTGCAGCCACCTCACTCGCCTCTGCTGCTGCCTGCACCTCCTGTCGCTCCTTTTCCCTGGTCCCACTCACTCACCTTCCCAGCTATTCCCTAGCCCGTAAATGACCTTCCTCCAAGAATTCTCATAAGTAATTTCAGCATCGATGCCTCTGCGGCAGCCTGCACCTCCTGTCTCACCTTTTCCCTGCTCTCACTCACTCACCTTCCCAGCGATTTTCTAGCCCGTAAATGACCTTTACCAGTCCTGACCGCCCCCTGCCCTCACCTGCCTCCAG